ATGACGCGATTGGAAACGTTAAAAGCCGGGTCAAGAACTCATTAAGAGTCGGTCATTAAAAGTGGTAATTGAGGTTCAGTGGTTAAGAAAAGCCAATATATGCATTATGTTATGCTCTTCTTATGATAGTTTATTTCTTTGAAATTTTGTGGATATTGTAAACACATAAAGAAACAACATAACGGTATCCAAATTTTTTACAGGGAAGAAGGGCGCTCACGTTATCAGCGTCAAGAAGATGCGCCATATACACCACGGATCCAATTGATGCCAACGAACCAACCTTTGACAAGATACTGATTGCCAATAGAGGAGAAATTGCTTGTCGGGTCATCAAGACGGCAAGGAAGATGGGCATCAAAACAGTCGCCATCCACTCTGATGTCGACTCTAATGCAGTAAGTTACTCTGCATTTATTTCTATGTTTGTGTTAGGGAAAGGGATTTTGATGTTTATGAAAATATATTGATATATGTTGCATTTTAACCTTTTAATCTGGATGCTTCACATCCCGCACCTGGCACAAAATACAGGCATTAGGCTTACTTAAACAGTCACTCTGAGGGGTGTATGGCTTGTAGGCTGGGCGCACACGAACCCTTGTGTGCAGTGAAGAGACTCCATGCCTCCCCTTTGTGATATTATTTTTTCCTTTTTCTGCATAAGCATTTTTTATGTTTTTGCCATTTTCCTATGCCTATATTTGTCATTTGATTTGCTTTATCCAAATGGTAATAACCTGTTTCCCTTGCACAGACTCTATATAATCTTTGTAGATAGTCCAGAACTTAATGTAATGATTATAATGGTAAATAGTATTTTATTATTTGTATCAATTTTTAGCGTGTAATCAAATTTTTGTAATACAACCTGCATCCTCCCTGGAGCCAATGCTCTTCCAGTTGTGGAAGGTGGTACATTCCACACTTATTTTTTGATGGAAATAATGCAAAAGCTCCTTAATAAATGCCTAAATGAATCTAATCACCCTCTGAAGAGTTTTATGGACTCATGGTGAATCATTCCCACTGAAATGCTTATGATGACAAATTATTGTCACCCCAGCCTTCAGCCAAATTTCACCATGGTGTCATTTTTACATCACTCACCCCTCAAGCCAAATTTTTTTGTGACATGGTAGTCACGTCTTCCAGATTGTAAAGGTTAATCATAATTCCATGATATATTGCTGCACTATATAATCAGGTCTTAGCAGTGACATATTGGATAGTGAATATGGAATACTTGGGAAAGGTTCAGATGCTCATAGTTTTTTCAAGATTGGAGATCATGATTTTAGAATGGTATTAAAAGACATCATCCAACAGCCCCATGTGAAGCTTGCTGACGAGGCTGTCTGTGTGGGAACAGCTCAGGCTCGAGACTCTTACCTACGTATGGACAGGATATTGGATGCCATCAAAACCACTGGCTCCCAGGTTTGTCAGCTCTGAATGATAATGCTGTAAGACCATAATGATTCAAGATGTTATAATGAATAGGCTAGCATTTTAGAGGCTAGAGAGTGTGAAAGAGTGTGTTGCTGTATCAGTGTGTAGATTGATACCTACATTTTGTTAACCCATTAATGCTGGTATATTTTGAAGCCGAAAATAAAAGATTCTGGGCGGCTGGCACGCGGGCAGAGTCTGAGCCAGCCCCGTGTGCTGGCCGCGGCCAGCTGCTGCATCAGAGCGCGAGCCTCGATACAGCATCACACTGTCAGGACACCCAGCATTGTTTATTTTTTTGGGTGTCTCATAAGTGGGACACCCGTCGTTAGTGGGTTAATGTTGTACTTTTGTTAATGTTGTAATTTTTGTTTGTTTGTATATTTATATCTACTATACAGTCATATAATTATATTCACAACCTCTGTGGCAATAGGAGATTTTGTAAAGATGAGGGTTGAATATTCCGTAGATGTGGAATTTTTTGCTAATATTGAGTACTTACACTGTCAATCTATGATTTATAACTTTTTTATTTATTTTTAATCAGGGCAAAAGTGCATTCCTGTACTCTTGCAACTAGGGTTGGACCCCCAAAATGGTTTTAATTACATTATATTTGTGTGATATTGCATTGGAAGTACAAGGAACTGTTACAAGAGATAAAGTTTGCTTCATATTACAAATGAATGAGGACATATATCTTTCTGGTTTATATCACATGTTATATGTGTATTTATATTTTTTGTACCAACAGGCTGTTCATCCAGGATACGGTTTCCTAAGTGAAAATGCAGATTTTGTACAGAAATTGGAAGACATTGGAGTCAGCTTCATAGGTCCCAATGCAAAGGCTATAACGGGCATGGGTGATAAGCTCGAGTCCAAGAGGCTTGCTATGGCAGCTGGAGTCAATACCATCCCAGGTAGGATATGAATAAATTCTTGTTTTTTTGTCGATAAAAAAAGGTTTTTGCTGTGCAGACATAGGACACTAGATTAAGAGAAGAAAAAATAATACTTTAGATCATGTGGATCACTCAGAAAGTAAGTGCATAGCATTTATTGAAGAAGCAATGCACTTTGTTTTTATAGTGTCACTATTAATTCTGCTGTGCAGGTCCTTTTAACAACTCTGAGAATAAAGGACAAAATAAAAAGTATTGTAGATAGAATGCAAATATCCTTGTTATTGATGGCCATTTTCTCTTAGTTCCAGTTGATTCAAAACAAAAATGAATTACATCCTGTGTGTAAAGTCTGTTTGAGATCAGACATCTTAGATATAAGGTAATTCATAGTTTAATTACCAAACATAATTGTACTTTACTCTGAACTTTTTAAATTAGTGGTCTACGCTCTTATTTTCCCAGAAGCCATGTCTGTTAGCTGTTTGTAGGCCAGAACCATCTTTACATCTAATTGAATTAAAATAATTGCTTCTTTGTTTATATGATATAATAGAGCAATCAGTGTGATATTTGATGTTTTTTGTTACTTAAATGTTTCTCAATATTGGGCAACAAGCATAGGTAGGCAAAATATAACTCCGTGCCAAATTATTTCTAGTGGAGGGCTGGATCTGTCCCATGGTTTATATAATTCAGCTTTTAGTTTATAAGCATTTTCGCAAAATATATGATATAAACTATGTTTAGCTTATATTGATATGAAACAACAGTGGGAGATAAATTTCAATAAGGTTGACTGCTTTGTGTGAAGGGAAAACTGCTGATTATTGTAGCAAGTGCTGTATGTAAATTATTAGAAATAGGGGCAGTAAAAGTGCTTGTTACAATATTGCTGGCTGGAAAAAAATATGTTGACACAGAAAATAACTTTTTTTTTTGTTTTGATATTTTGTTTATTAGTACAATTTCATATATATATATATATATATATATATATATATATATATTATATATATATATATATATATATATATATATATATATATATATATTTCTATTATCAGAAATTATTTTTTTAATTCATGTTTTATTTATTTGAAAAGCAGATTTTTTGAGACATGATTACATGAGATCTCATTCGCTCTCACAGATAGATCATGAGTATTTGATTCACCCTCACAAGAAGTTAATGAGTATCTGATTCACTCACACAGGCTTTGATGGTATTGTGAAAGATGCTGAGGACTGTGTACGCATCAGCAATGATATTGGATACCCAGTGATGATCAAGGCATCTGCTGGAGGTGGTGGGAAGGGCATGCGCATTGCCTGGAATGATGATGAAGCTCGTGAGGGATTCAAACTATCTACGCAAGAAGCTGCCTCTAGCTTTGGGGATGACAGAATACTGGTGGAGAAGTTTGTTGATAATCCAAGGCATATTGAAATTCAAGTATGTACAGGTTTTTAGGTTTGTCAGATGTTGATTGTTTTGTTTATATTTACCCAAACACTTCGGAGAAAACTCTTGGAAATGATTGTATTGTTTTTAAAAAAGCAGATTATCAATTCCACTCTTAATGCTCGTCTTTGTATTACAAACGGAAAACTGATAGACTGGTTTATAAAAGTATGAAGGTATTATTATAGATGAAAGCTTAAGAATTAACCTTAGTTATGAGGTTGTGTGCTTATTCGTGGATTCTGTATTGCTGTATTTGTATGTTTTGTCAACAAGAAGTTTGATTTTTGTATATTATCATTCCATCTTTTTTTCAAGGATAATACTTCTTATAGCAAATATTCTATTGACAGGTTTTAGGTGACAAATTTGGCAATGCGATATACCTTAACGAACGTGAATGCTCTATCCAGCGTCGCAACCAAAAAGTCATAGAAGAGGCTCCTAGGTATGTTATAAATTACAATACTTTCTCTAGAATTTCCATGTTTCCAGTTCACCGAAGTGTCTTCCACTAAGTAAAGGTTCTGTATAACCCTTTGCAATCTTTATCTCTAGATAACTCTGGTTGCGTTAACTAATATTTTCTAGTCATTTAAGGAAAAGTGCAAAGTGATAAAAAAAGTTTTAACACAGATCTTTTTGTAACTAATTAATAGCTATTTTCAGTCCCCTTGAATATAAAGTTTTCAGAATCAAGTAAAAAACATGGTAGGAATAGGATATTCCACATGCAATTTTTTTAGGTACAGTAGGATAAAGAAATATGTACGCATCAATTTAACTTATATTTATAGCAGAGGACAAAGGTATTGTTAAACTCTTGATTGATTTTCAATGATATCCTTTGTTTGCTTCCAGTGTTTTTCTAGATGAAGCTACAAGGAAAGCTATGGGAGAGCAGGCTGTGGCATTAGCCAAGCAGATTGGATATTCATCTGCAGGAACTGTTGAATTTCTTGTTGACTCCAAGAAGAATTTCTACTTTCTTGAGATGAATACAAGATTGCAGGTAATTTTCATTCAAATCGGTTTTGTAATACCAGATGTTTCTTTTGTGTATATATTAAAGAAATTTGATAATTTGAGTAACATCAAATTACAGGATTTTGCTCAGATTGATGAGTTGGTTACATAACTTAGAACATGGTCTTCCCTTTTTCAGGTAGAGCATCCCATCACAGAGTGTATTACTGGTGTTGACCTTGTGCACCAGATGATAAGAGTGGCTAAAGGTCTGTATCTGATGATATTCTTATACATGATTATGTTTTCTCAAGACTTTGTAAAAATTTGCTTTATTTTCAACATAAAGCATGTGGTGAGCTTAAACAATGATTAAATCTGTGATTATTATGAGTCTACCTGTTAGCTTTGTTATTCACCATGTTTGCAAATCATCCTGTCTTTTTCCAAACTTGCAGACCCAGTTACATAAAACAGTCAGTATGTTGTAAAATCATTCAAGAAAATAATGGGCTTTAAACTTCGACAGGAGACATATATGTAACCTCAAATAGAAATAATATGACACACTTCTGTTTTCTTTGTTATAGGACATTCCCTGAAAATTAGCCAGAAAGATGTACCCATAAGAGGCTGGGCCATCGAGAGTCGAGTTTATGCTGAGGATCCTTTCAAGAACTTTGGCCTGCCATCTATTGGGCGTCTGTCAAAATATCAGGAACCACTTCATCTTCCAAAGGTGATATTTTATATAATATACTGAACTTTGTGCCATACTTGTGCTACCGTAAATACCTTTTCATTCTTGATATATCTTATTATAAATCTCTGTTGTCAAGAATGTTCTAAATGAATTTTATATATATACTGAGGTTATTCATGTCTGTAGTTATTCATGGGCTTAAAGTACTGTAAATGATTAAAAAATATATATATATATTTTGTAAATACTGATTTGCATGGGAAGCAATAATTGACTGTGTGAACAAAATGTGTGTCATATGCAAATTATTAAATAAGAAAAGTTCATGACATCATTGGGATTTCCACTAGGTTCGTTGTGACAGTGGCATTGAAGAGGGGAGTGAAATTAGCATATATTATGATCCAATGATCTGTAAGTTAGTGTGCTATGGAGACAACAGAGAAGAAGCGTTGGAGCGCAGTATCAAGGCATTAGATGCTTACGTGATTAGGGGTAAGTAAGCTATACAGTATTTAGTTATCCAATAAATGCAAGTGTGACAGGTATGCACTTGATGCATGCACTCATTAACCCATTTTATACGGTGATACTGATGCCGGCATCATGAAGCGCCTGTGGAACATATGGTGACGCTAATGTTGGCGTCATAATTCCATTTGATTTTACTTGTTGCTGAGTGATCCTGTATTCTGCACTGGATCTGTTTTTAGACTGTATACTGCCCTAGAGATTCTGTAGCTCCACCCACCATTCCTGTTTCCACTATTCATGTACATCAGCTAGATATGCCCCGCCCCATACTCAGAATGAGAAACTATCACTGGCAGATTCTACATCACAGTTTCCCCCTCTGTGGTCCTTCCCCTATCCTCCATATCCCCCTATAACTTACCTTACCCCATACCACCAAGGATGGGAGACTGTACAGTGGGGTACACTTCTCCCTCCCTGGTTCATTCATTGTCCTTATATCCCCCTCCTCCCTTCTCCCTCTCCTTGATTTTTCAAATATTTTACACAAAATACTTGATTTCATATTTGACAGTCTTTGCATCTCTATCTCTCTCTCTCTTGTGTATGCATGTGTGCGCGGGTGTGTGTGCATATATATGTTTCTGTGTGAGAGGGGAAGAGAAAGAGAGAGAGGCAGAAACTGGATTAGATAAGAGACATTCAGGAGTACACAAACAAATTTACCGCTTGCTGGCAATAGACCCATACACAAGCAACACATACTTTTTAAAGCAACAGATCAAATTGGTAAATGTAAAGTTCAGAGATTGGAAAGAGATACTCAAATGATGTAACCATCCCTACTGCCTCTGTAGAAGAGATGTATTTACTTCCAAATGAAAACGGTTCATAGTGTATGATATAACTAGTAGATTTAACATTCACATTTGTAATATATATGTTTGTCAAAGGAAGAGCAGATTGATTTTTTTTTTACACAGAAAAAAGAAAAGAAAATAGATAATTCAAGTATACAATGGTGTCTTGCCAGGTGTGACGCATAACATACCCCTGCTTAGAGACATCCTCACTGAGGCACGCTTCGTATCAGGAAATATTTCAACCAATTACCTTCCTGAGGTTTATCCAGACGGATTTAAGGGAAAACAACTAACATCAAAGGAAAAGGTATTTTAAAATGCCTGCATTTTTAAATAATTTTTCACATGTTGAAATACAATACTCTTGTATGTTGTGGAATGTATTTTTATTTTATTTTTTTCTATATGAAAGTTTTACAAATATTTTGTTTGAGTCCCTTTCATTACATTGTGATTCATAATTACTTTCTTAAAGAAAATGTAATTTGTTTTATTTATCATTTTGTAACTTAAACTACAAATATATGTGTATGCCTGTTTATATTACTTGTGTGTGTGTATTTCTTCAATCCTAGGCGGAGCTTACAGCTGTGTTAGCCTCAGTTTATGTGAAAGATGCACTGAGGTCCAGAAACTTTATGAATGCAGAAAGAATTAAAGTCAATAGCCGAATTCCCTCATCGTGGAGCTTAGTAGTTCAAGTAGCTGGTGAAGATGTACCTTGTGAAATCAAAGTAGAGGATGGTGCATTCAAGGTCAGTAAGGATTATCTCCAAGCACTTATTAATATCAAATTGGTGTTTTCCTTATATAGAGAGATTCGTGCATGTTAGGTTCATGGAAAGTTTGATTTTATATGGCAATTTATCAATATTAAGAGATGTGCTTAAGGCTACAAACCTAGTCTCTCCCTCTTTTAGGTGACGGTTGAAGATAGAGTTGTGGCTGTGGACTCTGCTTTTGATCTTGCTTCCCCCCTTATTGAAGCTAATATTGATGGTGAACAAGAAACCATTCAGCTCATTAAACTTGGCTCAGGTGGTGAGATCAGGATAAGGTAAGTTGTGTAAAGTTTTACTGACAAGTTAAAATTTTGCTGATCTGTGTGCAGAATGGGCATGATTTCTATAGCATTTTCCTGAGAGACATTTGAACATATCCTCTCTTTATTTTTTAAACTTTTTTGAAAGATGTCATATACAGTCTGATTTATATTTTTTTGACACAGTAAGATCTATTTATAAGTGTTCAGTGATTAGTACACATTTTCCCTTTTTTACCCAGATATAAAGGAACAGCATTCCAAACCACTGTGGTCACGGATACAGCCCACCGTTATCTCTCTTATATGCCAGAGAAGCCCAAGGTACAGAAGTCTTTTCTTTATTGAACAGGAAGTGATAGTGAATTTGAACGATTATTATCAAATTTTGTTTTCCATAGCTTTTGCGTGATTAAAGGTTGGAAATTGTGAATGTGCAACTGTTTGATTTTTATATTTATTGTTAGCCTTTGATGAGGTTATTATGGATTGAGGTGTATATTTAGTGAGCCTGAGGGACACTATTACTACTGTATATTAGATAAAACTAGTAGCAGAAATGTAAAAATTCTTTTTTTATCATGATAAGTCATTTTGATCATGCAAGGTTTGTTTTTTCCTTATATGTAAATAACAAAGAAAACTTGATTTTGGTTCTCCTCTTGAAGTTGGTTTAATGTGCATTGTGGATTTATAAAAATATTTCATCTTCCAGGTTGACCAGAGTAAAGTAGTTTTGTCTCCAATGCCTGGCTTGGTGAAGTCTATAGCTTGTGCTCCAGGAGATATGGTTGGAGAAGGCCAGGAAGTGTGTGTCATTGGTGAGTATATGTGGAACAGTGTTGCTCCTTGAGAGAATTATTATATGGAAGCCTAATACTAAATGGCATTTTGTGTATCAAAGTACAAGTGGAGGTATCTTGTAATACTAGACCCATGGAATACAATGGTACTTAGGGTATAAGAGAGCACTATCTGCTGTGCTGGTTTTGATGTCAAGGTAGCCCTCATGAGACAAAAATTAGAAGTTCAAAGAATAAGTGGAATGTTATGTATCCATTGTCTTTGATTCAGGACAAATTGATTATTGTTTTATTGATAAAATTTTAAAATGAGGATTTAAGCTGACTCTGGAAGGCTTACAATAATTTGAGGGTGTATGTTTTTTTTTTTTGTTATATTCCAACATAACACAGAATAGAGAACAGCCTCCATTGTCTTAGCTAACCCGTTACCATGACACCTATTGATGTCACGTGTTATCAATGGATTAAATCCTTATTGAAAGCATTGAAACTGTAAAGAACACATATCCTTATTCACATTCTACTATTTTTTCCAACAGAGGCAATGAAGATGCAGAACTCCTTGGTTGCTGCAGCCACTGGTAAGGTGAAAGCCATCCATGTAAAGGAAGGAGAGACAGTGGAAGAAGAGCAAGTTTTAGTCGAGTTAGAATAGAGTAACAACAAAGTTTGTGTAGCATTTCGAGTAGGTGAATTGGTGTGAGAGCAACAAGGGTTTTTTTGTGTAGTGTTTGAGTGATAGAGATTACAAGATTGGCCTTTTAAGATTCTTTAATGTTGTAACAGTTATTTGGGTTAATTTTAAAATGAACTAAGTATTTTCTTCATCCATCAGCTTGGATTCTAAGCCAAGTTATTTCCTTTTTTCCATAAAGGAATCATAATGAATTAGCACAGCATCAGAAGACAGAGTAATCATCAACAAAACGTAAACTTGAAGCAAGAATATACACGCAATAAGAGTGAAGTAGAAGTAGCTACTTCACCAGTATGCAGTTAATTTTGAAACATTGTTTAATTGCTAATATCAAAGCAGCACCACCTCATCATTGTAGTAATTAATGATATTGCTTGGTTTCAAATAAATGGGAATAGTTCAATGTGGGGCAGTCTATTATGAACATTAATTACTGCAAGATGGTTTCTACTCTCTTGCAAGAAGTACAGAATAAGATGTACATTATTGGGCATTGTGTAATTTATATATTTATACTTCTTTTTGTCAAATAAAGGCTTTAGAAATGATTACTGTTCAATTAAAGAGGATGGATTTTATCATTTAAGATGTTTAGGTTGATGTTATGGGTCTACATGATTTTGATATTTAAACATCTTTAATTTCAAATTAGTAGTACAGTTACAGTTGGCTTAATAATGGTATAGATTGGTTAATTTCATAACCCTTGATGTTGAAATAGCTTGTGGATGTTAAGAAATTTCTTTAAAAGATTTTGAAGGATAACAAATTTGAGGACTACTTTTTAAAATAGAATAAAACTATTTTTGTGTACATTTATTGTAAAAAAAAAAAAACTTACTCTTCCAGTGTCATAAAACAGTGGTGTATAGTTTAGGAAAGATTTGGATTTAGATTTTCAGGTCTTTGTGTAAATTTCATTTACAGTGATTATATTTTTGTAGTGTAATAAAGTTTCAGTTAGCTTATTTAAAGCATTATTTCATTCCTTATGACTTATTTCATTATGATTTAGATATGAAACAATAAATGCATTTTTATACCCTTGCATTGTTACCTGCTAATATGAAAGTGTTCTAATTCATACAATTGGAATGGCAAAATAAGAATATGATATAGAGTTATCAAGATATGTATGATAAGCAAATTTAAAACACAAGTAAATGAAAAAGGAGTATAGAAAGAGTATATAGAGTTATGAGGGTCTTTTAAAAACTATTGTTCCCTTGGGTGGTAGACTATTTTTATTCCTTTCTACGATGTCTGTCGCTTAGAAATGAACTTATTTGTAACTGAAGCTTTGGTATGTTGTTAGGGCTTTAACTGATTTTTTAGTACTATATTGGGAATTATGCAGTCACTGATGACACTGCTCAACAGGACTCCCACAGTTGCCAAGGTATATTGAACTTGGAAAAAAATTAATTTGAGGTTAACATATGTCTTCCCTTGAAATAATGCATTCACCAGAGTTAAAACATGGAAATGATAGGTTGAGCTGCTCAAAATTAATCTAACCATGTGCACAGTTAGCAGACTTAATAGCAAGGTTTTCCTTATCTGTATAGAATTTTTTTTTTATCACTCAAATAATAACGACTATAAAAATCAGCATATAGTACAAAACATTGTTTTAAAACACTTAAAATGCTGGATCCTGTTTGTAGACAAGTATTCTGTGTACACACAATAATTCAGATATTTACCAAGAGAAAATAATTGTGTGCAAATGCAACCATTTTCAGCATAAAAGGAGACAATAATAAATTGCTATTCATTGAAAAAAAAGAAGGATAGAAAGGAACAAGAAAAGTACAGAGGATGAAAAAGAATTTTCAGCATAAAAGGAGACAATAATAAATTGCTATTCATTGAAAAAAAAGAAGGATAGAAAGGAACAAGAAAAGTACAGAGGATGAAAATTTGTAGAAAAGAATCAAAATAAAATATCACATTCATTTAATGTTTATTTACCAAATCCTGCTAAAAATCATTCCACTGATCTATAAGAAAATAATGGGAACAGTCTGACCCTAATCTGTTACATGATACCTTGAATGAATACATGCATACAGCTTCACAGATCTGGGGAACTAAAGCACATCCACTCTATAGGACAATGATGCTTTCATCTGAAGAATAGATGGAAATTAAATAAAATAAAAAAATAACTTTCACCTCTTACATTTCTCAAATACAGTATGACATGAGTCACAGATTATCAATATCCACCAAAATATGTAAACTTTATGTTGCCAAACATAACATTATAAACCAAAAGCGTAGAAAGTGAGGAGAAACATGGTCTGTTGCAAACTGCTGATTCTTATCGCTCCAACTACGACCTAAGTCTCTTTCTAAATATGTAACAAAGTTCACATAAGGTTAAGTAATTCAGCAAATAGTTTACTTGACACCTTTCTAGTTCTTCTTGTGTTCTACATCAGAGTGCAGGCGGAGGACTTCCTTTACCACAGAGCCGTACAGAAGCCTTCCAGTCTCATCAAAGAAGTTTTCAACTGTGAGGACAGTGCGTGCTTCTTTGGCCTTGCCCGTCTTCCCTGTCTTTTGCGAAAGGCACAGGTGGTACTTGTTGTCAAACCTAGAGAGGAAAGAGAAAATAATGGATTTGTTTCATCTTATCTGAGGTTACTTTGTAACACTGATTTATGTTAACTTTGTAATCCATTGCTGCTAGGTACATGTATTGTTCACTATTATTATTATGATTTTTTTTTTACGCTTAATTGGCTCTAAACGTCCTCAGTCATCAAGGAGTCAATTAGGAGGCCCAATGGGACATTACCCGATTTCCCCATTCCTAGAATTTTTGGAAAAAATATTTTGTCTGCTGCTATTCATATTGATCGTTACCATTATTATTGATATTATGATCCTACTGTCATTGAAATACTAATAGCAAGAAAGTATGAAAAAGAAGCTTTCCAAAAATCAATGGAAAGGGTAAACAGGTGAGATGAAAGGGCTGACTTTTATCTGACTACTTTGTGACTAAAACTCTTGCAGTGCTATCTACTTGTAAAAACATTTAAGAAACTAAAATCAGTGGAAATGGCAATGCACGTATATTCTAAATCTGGTGGCAATAGGTTAACAGAAAAAGTTTTGATCATACACACAACCACCTAATGGATACAATTATTTGGGGGAAAATTGTTTCATTTCTTTCTATCAAGAATATCATACCACATTTTGACTGTATTAGCCATGAAATCAAAGAATGTATTGCACAAAATCCATTAACCATGCTTTAGGCTCCTATTTTGTATATTTCTTTTAAATACACGAGTCTGTAAAATGGTGTTTCACAAGACCATTGCTGGTAACATACAAACTCTGTGCAATATTAGTTTAAATTTTGTGCTACCATTTTTATAGATGACTTAAGCAAGATGTATCTTAATTTAAACATTAATATTCAGAGTGAAAATGAGAAAAAAGAACTACTGCAATTATATAAACTGGAACAAAAATACTAAAGCTCTGCCCAACACATGATATGACTACTCTTAAAAAGATGACAACATTGTATATTACATCAATGGGCTGTATCCACTACTTTTACCTCTTCAGTGATGATGAAGCATTCCAGACGTCGTCAGGGTCTATTCCAGCCACATCTTTGTTAAGGGCTGTGCAGAAGATTCCTCTTTCCAAATAGGTTGTGTACCAGGTAAGCACTCCCATCATGATAAAGTAGGCCACCACACAAACACACATTACCATTCTAATTACCCAGTGAGAAGAGAAGAAACATATATTAAAGAACTATCTTAAAAGAATTTTTATTTTTATAAACTGGCATCTCAGCTTCAAATGACCATCACAACCATAAAACTCATTAACAAAAATTCTATTAAATTTCAATAATATTGATTGTTTGATAAAACAAAAAGACAAATTTGAATAATGATGCACGCTCACAAATGCTCCAGTTCAGTTTACAATAGTATAGGTTCATAACAAAGTAATAATGAAGACAACATAGTTCCATAGCTTACCTAGACTGTGGGAAAGGATAGAGCCAATCCCAAAGAAGAGCAAAGAGTGAGAAGCCAACAGCTATGGAGGAGATTAACAAGCGTCCGTCTAGCAGTCTGTGACTCTCCACATAGCTGAATCGTGACAGCAACACCTATTTCAAGGGGAGATGAGAAACATTATAAAAACAAATGAGAAAAGCAGCGTTAGTTGCAGTTTTTCTTGGAAAGATAATTTTACTCCCTTATTAAAACCAAAAGGTGTGATAATGGTGTGATAATGGGCAATCAAACACGAGTTGTCCTAAGGAGATGATCTATTTGTGCTTTTATGAGCCTGCAAATGAAAATTCAGATTAATCTGACACAACTTGTTTCCTAGTACCACTTCACTGTTCACATCAAATTTTTAAAAATCACAGGAAATGTGATAATTTCATGCATCCTCCTTCCTGCCTTGGCTGTTTGCACACAGGAATGGCAACTTTATTGATATGCACTATCGGGCAACTCTAAACACTGCAGAAATAAGGCAAAAAGGTTTAAATTGATAATTTTGAGGAAAGTTAGGCCAGTTTTCCATAGAAATTTTGTTTTGACACAGCTTGCTTCAGGCTAACAAAGTGTTGAGGAACATGTTCCTGAAGAAAACACTTGAACACAGCATCTAAAACTGTGTTGGGGTGAAAGAATACATTTATCTACAATATATACTGAAATTAGGCTTGAAAAACCAACTGTGCAACTGAATTAAACAAATGGAATGAAAATTGAAAACTTCCATAAGGTAACAAATTGGAAAAAAAGTTACTAATCATAGAAATATGCTGATGAGCATAGCTTTACTATCCAGTGAATAACAGCCTCTGATACTTTTTGCTGTAGTCTCCTGTATAACACATAAGTATCAAAACCAACACAAAATGGTATAAGACCTTACAGTATGAATAGGTTATCAATAAGTCATAAACTCCACACCCAAAAATGTGAAGACTGCTAATGTAATTAAAGTACAGTAAACCAAAGTACTATATTTCAATATACTGTAAATCCAGAGCATTTGTTGGGTCTTCTGAGCTCATTCAAATACTTACATCTTTGACAGCATCATCAAGTGCATTCTTTAAGGCGTTCCCATCCCATTTGTTGACTTTTGGTGGATTTTCTTCCATTGTCTGAAAATAAATGTCTTTATTAGGACTACAGATGGCACATATTTAGTAAATATACTGCTTAAAATCAGAGAAAAAGAAAGAAAATCACAAGCAATATCCAAAGCTAAAGGAGAAAATCATTTACCTATAAATCAATTACAGAACTGATTGATTGATTGCATACACACTCGTGACTTAAACTTTGGCAAATATTAACAAACCTCCACCATGGACTGAATATCCTGATACAGTAATCTTTTGAATGATATCTTATTTGAAATTATATTGCCAGTGATGTCTGCAAAGCCTACATATAATGGTCATGTTTATGGCAATGAAAATAATGTCTTGTTTTTTTAATTGTTTTCACTTAATTAAAAAATCATTGCAATAGCAGCTAGTGGAATATTTGGTAAAGTCTAGTAAGGATGGTCATACATTAGTGCATGCTGCTCCGATCATGTGTAAA